TTATTTTTTAGAGCCAAGTTCTAATAGTGTTTCTGAAGATATATAGAAATAACCCAATTAAACATTTGCTCTATTTCCTCCCTCCCAGAGGCCTCTGATGTACATTTCTGGAGATATTTTCCCTACCTACTTTATTAGCTTCAAAAATTAAAGCTTGGTATCTAATCAGAAAGGCAATTATCAGTTCTTTGTGCTTCCAAGTTGGTGTTTTATGTTTTTCTGGGTCCAGATGAGCTGCAAACGTTTGCTCATTATCTGGTAAGCATCAACCACTACAGACAGAAACTGGGCTGCTTTTTCCAGCTGTTCTCCCTAATGTTGCAGAAACCTTCCTCTTCAGTTCATTAAATTTAACTTCAGGCAATTGCTAAAATGCAGGATAATTCTTTTTTGTTGTATCTTGGCACTTCCAGAGTTCAGTCTCCCATTAGCATCAACGAGGCTCCCAGAGATTTTCAAGTTTATTTTTAAAAGTTATTATGGAAGGTAGGCAGGGACTAGGATAGAAGAAAGACTTTTGAAGTGACAAATACTTGCCATTATTTTTCCTTTATATTAAAGGGACCTCAATTATAATTGCTTTTTTTTTTTTTTTAAAGATTTATTTATTTATTCATACAGAACTGGGGTACAGGCCAGAGATGCGGAGGGTGAGAGGATTCACCAGAGACAGAGTGGGGAGCAGAACAGGCAGATCGACGAAGTACACTGCTGAGGGGAGCAGCGGGCGGGTCAGGAGAGGTCTGCCACGCCATGTGGTCACCTCCGGGGCAGGCGGGAATCGAACTCATGCGGAAGCGGCTTTAGATTCTCAGTGCTGTGCTTTAACCCGCTGCGCCACCAGGGAGGGCCAATTATAATTGCTTTTTGAGGTGGTTTTTATAAATGCCTGGTTAGAAGGATATGGCTTTGTGTTTCATACTGCATCAGAACTCTTTCAGTCAGAACTCAGTTTCAATCATTGACTAAATTGCTTACAGATCCTTTCTAATGCATAATGAAGAACTATGTTGGGAATGTGTATTATTTTCTAAATTTTACAAGTGCCCAGTTGTGAAAAATTATATTCTTTATAAAAAGAATATTATGTGGAATTCTGTGTTGGACATAATTGGATTTTTAGAAAGGATATTATATGGAATTCTGCGTTGTGTACATTCCACAATTTAAACTTTTCATTACTTATGTTCATTTATTGCTTTCACACCTTTACATCAACAAATATGATAAAGTGAATATCCTTCTACCATATCACTGTCTATATGCTTTCAATTATCTATTATTATTACTATTTCTCCCTACTAATGAAGAAAACCTTTTTTCTTTTCTGTACAAAGTTTTGTATATTATTAACCTTTATTTTCTGTATCTACTTGGTCAGTATTTTCAGTGATATTTCTTCAACTGTGAATTTTCGTGAGAATCTTTTTTCTCAATTTCCAAAGTTTCATGTTCCCTTCTCTGTTCTTCTGGGCTTTTTATTATATGCTTCCAGAAGGTAAAAGTGGAATGCTTAATCAAGGTTTTGGTCCTTCTTATTTTCCTTTGTACACAAACTGTCAATATGCAGGACTTGATCACTGCCAGTGATAGCAGGTATTGCTCTTACACTTACTTACCAATGGACTGTATGTAGGAACAGATCTGAAGCCTAAGTATGATAGTGTAGTACTTTATTGCGACACCTGCTTTAATTATGAGTTATAATTATATGTACTTATTTCTTGCTAGGAATTATTGACTTTTTAAAATGCCACTATGACCATTCTAAGGAATTATATCAAAAGCCTCTTTATTTTTTGGTGATTGAACTTAAGTCTTTTCACAACATGAATTTATATTATGATATCTACCAGTCATTTTCAGCCTATCAGTTTTTACTGTTCTATAGGAGAAACTTAAAATTGATTATCCCACAGAGATATTAGCATTTTCATTCCAGAATCTTGTAAATTTTAAAGGATCTTTTATACAAATAATCAGCTCCAAATCTAATCCAGTACCCACTTCTTTTACAGTCAGGACATATACTGCTTGATTTATTTTTTTATGAATTACTTTTCTCATAGCTCGCAAGGTAGTACCATCAGAAAAGACTTGTTGCCTTTTGGCAAAGATGATAAAAAGTGATAAACAAAAAACCACCTACAAATACTTTAAATGAGTGAACCTTTTATATAGATTGTGAAAGGGTACAGTTATACATCAGCTGTCAGAGTAGAAGCCGTGGAGACACTAGGGATGTGGTTTGATGGGGTTTTCACTGTAATCATTGCTTATGAAGGCCTGGAGCGCAGGTCTGCGCTTCCCCTTAAAATGCTCACTTTCCCTTCCACATTACTTTCTAAACTTAACAGCTGCTGGTGATCCTTAAACTCCAGGAACTGTGAACATTATTTTCTACAAGGGATAGATTTTAAATGATCTATGAACACACACACATATCTACACATGGTCTTCCCCTATTGTTCTAAAATGATTTGAGTTGTGGTAAGCACTTTGAAATGAAATTTTATTGATATATTTTATTTCTGTCTTAAACCAAATAGTGTATCATTTGATTATGTATGCAATATGAATTACTATAATTTAAGACTAAGAATAGTCAGGATGTTTGTTAAAACAAGGGCTTTTTAGAAATTTGCAATTGTCTTTTCCTTATTAGCCTCCCTTCTTTTATAAAGATAATACTAGAGTATTTCCAGCTCCTTCATATACTCTCACTGGAATTTTCCACATGATGAAATTAAAATTGGGAGAAAGCCATGACCAATTTTTCGACTCCATTGTCAATATAGTTTACCAAATCACACAGCCCACATCTTAATGGAATATCCTCTATGATGTCAATCTCAGATAATATAGTTTATTTCTTCAACTGCTTTGTTTTTGTCACAACATTGTATCTTTTGAGGAATTTAGTTTAACAGATTCCTGACAAGTGAAATGAAGGTGTGGAGCATTGGTGACTTTATGCTGGGATAGATTAGTGGATTACTGTCTCTTCATAATTTATCTAATGTTTAACCTAAACCATTGTTTGTTGATTGAACTTTGTAGTTCACTTATTATCTTCTCTGCTTATCCAATAAGAATTCATTACTATGTGCTGGACTTCATTCAAGGCAAGGAACAAAGCAGACAATGATCCAGCCTTTTCTATAGAATGAAAAGAAAAAAAGCCAAACAAGTAAAAAGAGATAAATAACAGGTACCATAAAATAAGCTAAGGAAGGACAAGGAGAATGGAGTGTAACAGGCTTGAGATGGCATTTGAAAAGAGAGCTATGTCAAGTGGAATAGCCAGGTTTTCATTGAGGAGAAGATGATGAAAAGTGATAAACCAATATTATTTTAATAATCACAGGTAATAACAGAATCCAAAGAACAAACACATATATGAAAAGATGAAAAGCTATTCGAATTTTCACACCAAGTTCATGAACATTATGGGTGCCATGGTGGTGGGTGTGGCTTGGTAGCACACATCTGAAAAGGTGTGATCCTATACTTATTATGATTACCTATAGAATTGTAAACCAGCATTACCTCATTAATAAGCAAAATGTGGTGTGTAGATGGATGCTTATTTTAGCCCTGATTGGGGCTTCTTAACCCAAATCATGACCAAAACATTATAAGATTTGCCTTAGGTGCTGTCAAGAGGAAAAAAAGGGCATTTTACCATGTTTGAAAAAAATACAAAAAAATGAAGCTGTTTTCTAATTGTAGTTATTACTAATTGAGCTCATTTCTCTCTCATTTCCCCCATTTTTCTCTATCTAGTTTCCTGTCATCCCCCACTCACCCTCACCATCATGTTTATAAGATGGTATGATCAAAGGGAAAAAATGGCAGAAGATATATCAGATTATTGACTTAAGTTACCTTGGCAGAGAATGTTACAGAGGAAGGTGAAATGGGGAGAAGTCATCTGTATTTAGGTATTTCTGTATGCATCTAATGTCTTTAAAGGTGACTGACACTGAGAATTGCTCATTTTTTTAAGATGTTCATTTTTCTATGTTTATTGTTTAATGACAGAAATCACCAGGGACTCAGTAAAAGCAAATATAGAATGCAAAGCAGTCATGTTCTTATGCTTGCTTGCAGCACATAAACTGGGTGATACTTACCTTTTTTTCCATGTAGATTCAGTTGTAATGAACAGTATAGGAAATGAGACTGCAAACCACCATTTTTTTTTTTCTCATTAAACATTTGAGGCTAGCGCATATACAAAACATTGGAAGGGTTCCCTGTTATATTTTAGCAAACGGCTATTTAGGAAAATGTTTTTAAGTCAAACTGTTCTGGCAGTTACACTAATTTGAGTCTTCCTTTCCGAATGTGTAAATATGTGAGTCATCATTTAGGGGAATTTAATTTGCTGACGTGTGAGTTCCTGCCTTGTTTTAGGTGTGGTCTTTCATTGGTAGAGTTTGGAGAAGGGACAGAAAGGTTTGCCTTCTGACTGAGGTGTGCAGAGTATGTTCCCTTTCTGTGGGTGTTCCCTTTGAATTAACTAGAAGCCAGAAGGTCCTTTTTTTTCCCCCATGATGAAGAATCTTGTGGCTTCAGCAGACTTTTAAAGTAAATATTTGCATTTCCAGAACTTTGTAAATTAGAGTGTTTCAAAAAGATCCAGGGAGGGCAATATAGTAGTGAGAAGATTTAGGTATTTGCTGAAAAAAAAAAAAAATTAACCCACACTAAGCAGAAAATGATGCAAATTAAATCAGATACACATGAACAGTATGAAAATGATTTTCATGTTTGTCAGCAACAGTTATTTACAAATAACCCATATGAAAATGTAAAAAAAGGTTATTACATTTTCACATACCATCTATATTAGCTGAATAAAGCTTATGACATTATCTGTAGTTAATTGTACATAGACATTTTATGCATTAAAAAAGAAATGTACATAATTTAAAATAAATTACATTACACAATTTACAAAGTAATATTAACAAAAACTTGTTAGGCAGCTGCCTTCTTATTTAAACAAAAATAAATAATCAGGTAATTAAATTAACAAAACACATCTATGGGATTATAGTTTATAGAAAGACAGATTGCAAATTTAATCAATTTACATTTTACAATGCAGATACTTCAATTTTTTTTGCTAGAAATAAGCAGGAGCAAGTATCAGAAAGGGAATCTAATACTTTTGAAAATAAACATGGATTCCTGAAAAACACTTGGGAGAAGTTCATTGATAGTTCAAAGTAGGTGATCTAGAAATCACTGCTTAAAAAAAAAAAAACTATTTTAAAGAGCAACAATAAGATGGACAACCAATTGTATTCTTGCTGACCAGAGATTTTTGAAATTTGAAAACAGTGACTCACAAAACTAAAGTCCCACAATTTAAGAAACTTCCTATACTGACCATTCCAAGATCTGGCTTAGTAGAAGCATAAGAAAAAAAAAATATGTAAAACTACAAAATTAACAAATTCACTTAGCATTTGTTTTACCTATTAAATATTGAGATAACCATTTTCAGCGTCCCTACTAGATGCAGAATTACCATATCACACTTCAAAACATCCTTTGTATAAAAAGTAATGCTTTGCCAGATCCATCCTCCTTTTTCAGGTGCACAAAGGCCTGGTCTGTGGCAGAGGATAGGACCAGATAAGACAGACGGATATCCCAGTTCTCAGGTCTAAACTAGAGTTAGAAGGATCATTCTCTGACAAGGCTCCTCACAGATTTGTTCCTGGACTGCTTCCTTTTAGTCCCCTCATTTTTGGAGAGAAGCTAGAACAAGGAATACGTTAAAATGCACCTTTCCAAACAGTGAGGTCTCAGATCATCTGTGAGACCTCAAATTAGCCTAAGCATGAGACTCCTTAGTTTAACAAAGCATTGCAAGGTCCAGGCCTTCCTCCCAGTCTTGTAGGGTGGGACATGGACTAAGGGGCAAGTTAGAGAGGGGAGGAGTAGGTGTGTACTGACACGAGCAGAGGAAGTGCCCTTTTTTTGGGGGGGGTGGAGGCCTGTCTTCCATATATTTTCTTATCTCTTTGACTAGTACATTCTGTTTAAATCAAATGTTTATACTCTAAGTGACACTGGCTTCAGTACAAAGGAAATACAGGTTACACCTCTTTATTTTTTTCTTTAAAATTTGGGCACATTTAGTAGAAAGTTCTGAGGGAAAGAGATGCGACTAGTTGTTGGCAAGAGAGTAGAATAAAGTGTTCAGGAAGTAAAAATCATCAAGAAGCAAGGTTAAAGGGAGTTAGAGGAGGTGAAAACATTGTGATAGGTGTTGCTGGCTTCCTGTAAGAAACTCTAAATAAGTGACAATGGCTAGGAACTTAATAGGTGAAGTCACGATGACCACTGCCACTGAGGGTGGAGGACAGCTGCACTGGAAGGCTGTCAGAGGGCCTGAGAGGTTTTACTATGTAGGGAAAAATACAAACCACATTAAAAAAAGAAATCTAGAGTAAAGGACAGGCTACGTAAGTGCTATTTTTTTTTTTTGCTTATTCAAGTTTGCCTTCCTTTAAATGTTTTAGTTACATTTGTAAACAAAAGCCATTGCTGTTTTTTACAGTGTCTGGCAGACTGTTTTATGTGATAATTTAACAAATGTCCTGTTAGGAGTAACTTGTGCTTTGTTAAAAGTAATGAAGAACATGCTTTTATGCACTCCTCAACTAGCTTTAGTTACGCAGTGGCCTCCATAGGGCTTTGAAATAAGGGCTACAGTCACTATCTTAGAATAGGTATCAATGAATAATCAAATTAACCCTTTTCAGGAGATAAGGTATGTCACATCTATGTGGTTTACATTGAAACAGTCTAGTAACATAGTAGAATATTGTGTTGGTATGTTTTTTTTTTAAGAGTCATACTGTTAGCATTCCTTAGTTTTTGTGAACTCACAGTAAGGCAAAAGTGTTAACACTTTTCCCAACTATTTCAATAGGCAGAAGTGTCAACAGACAAGTTATTACTATATTCACTGCCTGAATTCTTCGGGTGAAAAGGAGGAATAAAGATTTGATGAAATGCCAATAATGTACTCAATTTATTATTGACTCATGCCAGGAACAAGAATAAGGCCTTTTTTATGTCATAAACATGAGTACAGTACCCTTCATTTGTAAGTTATAGGTATCCAGTGAGCTATAATCCCCTCCTACCTTTCTAACAAGAGGCCATTCAATGTGTATCCTAATAATGAACTTGGCAATTTGTTTCTTCATGTAAGATCACATGAAACTGTCTCCTCTGTACATGCAGTATTATAGGTGTAATAAATTTAAAAATGAAATCATGTAATTTCATAACACAATTTTTACCTATTCATTAATTTAATTCTTAGACTATCGGTCAGATGATACTGATCCACATTCTAAATTAATGCCATTTTACAGTATCATAGGTCTAGCCTTAGTAGTAACAATATTTTATTCTGTTCAATAATTTTAAAGTTATTAGGTGTTGCATGGATTTCATCATGCTGTTCATGTCTTTTAGTTACAATAGTTGCTCAAAAAGATCAACTTGAGGATTATGTAGAAGACCCCTGAGTATGTATATTGATGACCAATATTTTGGGTCGATAATATTTTATGTTCCTCATCAAAGACAGATGGGATGGAATTTTTTTTTATTCTTTTCCTTTGTTAAATCCTTTGGTTTAAAGTGAAATTCTCATATTTTTGACCACCTGTTTACTTTGCAAAGATTTACAACACCTACTACACAATGAATACTGTGGAATTAGTACCATGTTTAATTTGTGAAATATGTAGAAATCTGTTCGTTTGCGGGAACAGACATGTGAATGTCTTTTGTTATTTTGCAAGTACTATAATGAACAGCAGAGGGAGACCAAGCTCTATTATGAAGTTAAATTCTCTTATATAGTTCAATCCACTTAAATAGTGAAGCTTAAAATAGTGTTACACTATTTATAAAAGACCTGGCAATCTAATGTGTTCTCTTCTCTCAAAGGTTGTGGTACATATTGCCTGAAAAATGGTATTGCTTTTTAATGGCACCATTTGAATTTTCTTTTCATATGAAAGAAGCTTGTCAAGTTATTTTTTTCACTTTTACATTTCCAGGGTTACCTCTGAAAAATATAGTTACTTTCAGTACAAGTTTTTTCAAAATTAGTGACTGCTTTTTTCACCTTTGAAATCAAACAATATCACAGTCTAAGGCTAAAGGAATGAAAATCAAAGATGACAAAATGCAGAGTTCTCACTGAAAAAACTTGCAGAAAAGTTTTTGGTTTTTTTTGTTTTTTTTTTCTTCAGAAAACTATAACTGGATGTCAGCAAGTGTGGCTTGCTTTAAAAAAAAGATTTATTAGAAAATGATGATGTTCCTTCTTTGTGTTATTTATGGTTACATGCTAATGTTAGAAATTAAGACATTACAACCTAGTCCTGCCGGAAAACACTTACTATCTGCTAGACCTTTACAGAAAAAGCTTGCCACTCTTAGTTTAGATAGTTAATGAAGCTCTGGGCAAAATATTTATTCTTCCTTTTTAAAATTTTAGTTTTTGAAATCATACATTAAAAAGACTGTTTCAAATTTTATGATAAAGACAAAACTATGAAATTTGAAATATATTCAATCTGAAACTAGGAAAAAATGGGATGAAAAATTAACACACAATTTTGAATTCTTTTAGTTACAAAAATTATCAGTACATTTCTCCATCTGTTCAAAATTAAAAAGACAACCGGCTCCTTTTTTTCTTTTCTTTTCTTTTTTTAACAAAGATAACAAATATAAAAATCTCGTCATAAACAACCTTCAAAGTACAATTAAAAACCAACTAGAGGAATCCATCTTTTAGAGGGTTAATGAGTTCATTACTGAAACACTTATATTACTGCCAAGTTGTCAATTTCACAATGGCGGCAGCAATGAGGAAGAGTGTATACAGCAGATAGAATAGCTAATTCCATCCTGTTGCCATCCAAGCTGAACTTTACTCTCTTCAGGATACAGGAACGTGTAAATGTCTACATTTAGCACATCCTAGCACAGATGTCTTCATCCCATATGAAAAGAGGCAGTTTATGGCAATACTGGTTAAGTGCCTATCATGCTGCACTAATATAGTGCAAAAATGTGCCTTCTATTTAGCAAAAAAGATGCAGGCAACCAGTGTGAAAATTAGGGAAAGTAGAAACATACTGTATTAACACAAGGAAATTATTAGTTTTCCAGACAATAACTACTATAAAATACTGAGCTTGAGGACTCTTCTAAGACACTAGTACACGTCCAGCATTCATACTTTGGAGAGAGACAAAAATTAAGTCTTAAAAAAGTCTGTGCCTCTGAAATGCAGGTCAGTAAAAGCTACCATCAACCACCAAGATGTCTTAATGGGTTTTATGCTCAGCTGAGAGTTTCTATTACCATTAAAATTGTTTATTAACAAGTACATAATCTGACATAATAATGTGTGTCATTCAACTGAGTATACATGTTGTTATGTTTGACTATATTATTGTAGAGACCTTGGTATAAACTCCACATGCTAAATGCTATTATGGGATAACACTGCAGACAGAGGCTTGCATCCGCATCCTAACCAGACAATTTCACCATTTTTTTTTTTTTTTGGGTGAAAGTGAATTGTCAGTTGGGTAGACTTCAGAAAAGATCGTACAACTCCAGAATGCAGCATGTATTCAACTAAATTTCCTAGAATTCTCAGCACTAATGATCTCTATGCAAGTGGTACTGGTCAATATCTTCAACACTGTGATTTTTAGTCTTCTCTTTATAACACTTTTAAAAAGTTACAATGCATTTTAATCCACGCTGTTTGAAAACCTTTGTGGCCTCTTGCTATCTACTGCAAAGTCAGAAAGCTGAAACTGGGCGTTGTCAGGATAAATAATATTTTACATGTCTGCATCTCCATCATAGGCTAAGGTTAAAGGTTTCAGTCGGTTGTTTTGCCGCCTTTGGGGTTTCTTTGGCTTTTTGCTGTAAAAAGAAAAAGTCAAAATTGGGGGGAAAAATTAGTCTTCAATTGTAAGTTTCATTGTCTTAAAATGAAAGTTTGAAACATACTGATCTAATCTGTATGATTGTCTAAATTCCACCTTACAATTTGATTTTTTGAATTTCTTAGCTTTCTGCTCTCAATAAACCTGAAACAGAACACTTCAAATATTTTATTATCCTGTAAAAGGTAAAAAAATCCAAATGGAATTTCTGTAACAGTGTAAATAACATTTTAGTGCATAATCATTTATATTTGACCAGTAACCTATATAAATAATCTATAATTTATAAATAATACATATTTAAAAAGAGAAATAAGACTAGATATTATCATAATGTCTTCTTCTAGTAATTCAATATAAAAATCTACATTCTACCATAAGCACACAAAGCTATATTCTGTTTGTTGCATAACCAAGGAGAACATACATGAAAAGTTGATTTGGAACAACTCTGGTTTATTTTCAGAGATTAACTGGTTTAGATGTGCTAGTTTTCAGGTTAAGATTAAAGCCATGTTTATTTAGAAATTTAGAGAAACAGTAATGTGGCATGCTGATTTGAGACATTAGTTTGCTATTCCTGTGTTATTTTCTTATGATCCAGAGTGTCCCCATGCAATTGAAAGACTTAGATTTTAAAATATTTAGACACTCACCATGCTAGATAAATCATGGAGACAACAAAGATGAGTAACACAAATGCCCCAGCTGCTACACCGTAAACCCAGGTCTTTAGTCTCCCATCTAAGAAGAATGGATATTAGTCATTAATTTACATTAGTCTGGTGTATATATATGTATATATGGTGCTCTTTAAATATGACCAATGACCACTCAAATGTGACCAAGTTCTTTCAAAACACAAAATGAATTATTGCTTAGGCACAGTTAATGATTAATGCAAAGCTGCTCTTATGTTAGATGCTGCTTCATTAAAGATAAATGATCAATGAAAATTGAATTAAGAACAAAGCTTTCAATTGGAGTTCAGATTCCAAGTATGTTGAAATTTTTGCTTCTGCTTATCTAAATTTTAATTCAAATGCAGTATATGTATGTTGCTACAAAACCATTTTCTTTTCATTCTATTTTGAGAATGACAATTATAGGAAGAAATAATTCATTATCAAGAAAGTTCTGCAACCTAGAATTGATGAAGACAGATAGTGCATATGAACTTTGTTATTTTTAGCTTTTTTTTCTAGGTGAAGTAGAAGTAAATTATATTCATTTTTTTTAACTCATTTAGCTTAAAGTGTGCTTTAAAATTGATCAGAAAATTTTATTGGCAAAAATAAGCTAGTTTTATTAACACATAAAAGGGTCTCTAATTGATTTCTCCCTTTTCTATTTTATGGAAATAGATATGACAGGGAGTTTTTAATTCGGTTTTCTGGTCTCATTCTCTTTGAACTTCTCAGTTTCATATTCTGAATAAAACCCGGACAGAAGATAACTACTAGTGACTGTGTAACTTAATTTGATCTTCATTTCAACATACATATTTTGATGTATACATACAACTTAATGTCTGAGTCTTAAAATTATAGATTTGCTGTGTTTGATTGATTAAAAGCAAAGTCATCAAAAGCAAATCAGTACTGTAATTTTTTTTCCTTTAGAGTTGAAATTAGCTTAGTTCTTAAGTGAATGATCTAAATATCCTTTCTCTACAATTCTAACAATTTTAAAAATTCAAACTGTGGTTAAAAATTAAAAGTGAAATGCTAAAAAAAAAAGAACCTTTCTACTGTTGTGCTTCTCTACCCTGATAGTTTTTCCAATAAACAATATAATAGCATTTTTTGGTTTTTCAAAAATCAAGAACAAGATCTCAGTACAGTTTTCTAGATATGTACTATCTATCTATATATTAGAAATGAAAAGAGACAATAATCTTTCTTATTCAAAGTTTTGATGTGAGATGTTCTTGAATACTTTCCCGGTCAAGATCAACATTAATGGCCATGTGCCATTATGTTCAATGTATTGGACACCTAGAGAAATTTCCCTGGCTTACATAGGCATAGGACGTACAAAGAAAAGTCACCTTTGTAAAATAAAATGTATTTTCAGCTAAAAACTTTATCAAGTCAGGGATAATATGGTTAAATGTGAATTACCCAAATATTTAAAATACTTAATATTCCAATAAGGATTTCTTAAATAAGGGAAAATGTCTTATTTCACTAAATATAGAGATGCATTCCTTCTCCTGTTTCTAATGCTGTTATAAAGTAGTCTGTGGTTGACTTTGCTTGGATATATATACTATTGTCAAGGTAAGGTGGTTATCTTAGTATCATGTAACCCTTGTAGCCCATTTTCAAGTACCAGGCTAGTTTTGGGATGAGTGTAAGAGCCTACGTTGATTAGGGAGTGGCACTTCATCGGGCCTTCAATCTTTTCCCTGTATTGGCGTCAAGGCCATTACTAGATACAGTAAGAGCTGTTTGTGGGCCTGGTCGGCCTTTAAACTTAGATCATCTTATTCAGACAGGAAGTCTCCATCCCTACCCCTGTGTATCTAGTACTAACATAGATTGCAAGTATTTGAGTATGCCAACTCCAAGGATTGATATAAACTGCTTTGACTACCAAGTGCTCCCTGGCACAGTGCTGCATTATTGATATTCCTACTTATCGTTCAAATTACTACCACTTTGCCAAATGAGAAATACAAACACAAATGAATTTGTTCCATTTCTGAATGATGATGCATTTTTCCCCCACCCCCATTTCCTTAGATTTACTTTTTCAAGGTGAAAATAATTATATTTTTTATTTAGGGGTGAGTCCAAAATAAGTAGTATCAATTGTAAAAACTTCTCAAAAGAAAGTAGTTCAATTTCTCTGAAAATTGATCACGTGTACTTTTATAAGGATAGTTTTAACACTCACACACACGTGTGTGTGTATATGACAGTATTAGGATAAATGATAATAAATGAAATAGCAATAGCTGATAGGAAAATAATTGCTCAATTGTAATCCTTTGGCATTGGTTAAATATATAACTAATGGGTTCCACATCAACTTCTAGTTACTTCACCTGGCCCAAATGGCTGTAGAAACCAGGTCCTTCCCCGGCCTGCTGGGTTACTGGAGGGTTGGGTTGGGTGTACTGCCCGACTGGTTTTCACGTCTCTTCTTTTGTCCTCCATGGTGGGTATCACCACCACGGGAATGAGTGTACACTGCTCAAGTGTACCATTCGAAGACATAACCTCAGTGTATCCTTCTTCACAACTGCATGACCTTGTCTGCAGAAGAAAAGATGTATACTTACATGCAAGGAGATCTTTGAAATCATGACAGGCCTGATTTAAAGAGCCAGCTTTAAAGAGGTGCTGGCTTGGGAATTTACCACAGATGATTTCTGACTTAGCTACATAAAAATGAACAGTTTTCAACTGAATACAAACTTATGCTAACAGTAGGAGCAAGTACATTTAGAATTGTTTATACTGATGATAGTTCTAAAATAGAGTTTTATGCCTTAAGATACTTTTGGGTGGGGTGGAGGGTAGGGTTGGGTTGCACAAGAGGCAATGGGTGACAGAAAAAGCTCCTTTGTCTGCCCTAATGAACTCACACATACCTCGCTACAGTACGAATGGGGTTGACTACACGGTGGGTTACAAGACCTGTCAGCATCAGGCTGGCGCACCACCAAGCAGCCTCCTGCAGAACAAAAAATCACATTTGACAAGTAGCATCTCTAGCAATGACAGAGTACACCATTAAAGATTTGTCTTTGAATCCTAAACCACTTTGGGAATCCCAGAAATTTTTCTGAGTGTAGTTGACAGTAAAGTATTTGGTAAATTGTAATTACATCATTTAGAAACGTGAGGGCCTTTTTATCCAGAGGAAATACCATGTACCTGGTACTCAGTAGATGGGTCAATTCTGAAAAGGATAATGTTATGGTTGCTACTTTGAAAATACTATATATGAGCTGTATTTATGGCAATTCGTGTGGCAGTGTCCAGCATTAAATATCAGAATGAAAGAAAATTAAAATTCTTTGCTTATAAAAAGAGTTCTTATTTCTCTCAAGATTTCTCTTTATGTGACTACCACATAAATAATGCACATTTGTTTTGAGAAAATCACTATTCCTTTTGATGGGGGATTTGTTGGGAGGGGACATGAATAGAAAGAATACAAATAAAGCTACTAAGTGGTATTTCTGCACTGTTGCTTTAACTTATACTGACACTCACCATCCCTTTTCTTCCTTCTGTGGTTTTAGGATGAGAACAGATGTAATAAAGGGACAAATTGGTGTGTTATAGAGGGAATGCATAATTTCAAACTACACTTATTCAGTTTAACATAATTTTGGCAAAACAAAGTGTTCCTTTATGGAAGTTAAGCAAAAGGGGTTATTGTTAGTTCTTTGCCTTATTTTTCAATATTATCAACAAAATATTCATAAAAAATCTTTATGGAAAAGGAGTTAATCTCTGCAAGGCAGCTGTAGTTAAATAGCCTTATTGAAGTGCTTCTCATTAAACATGAAGAAAAATGAAAGCAACATCTGAAGTTTCTTAGAAGGACAACTATTTATAAAACTGAAGTTATCAATCAAGGTGGTTAATATGCTTTAAGTGTTTTCTATTTCTCATAAGGAGAAATTTGGCCTAAAAGATGGAAAAAGAATGCACAGAGTTTATCACAAATAATGTACATATTGACTTTTTGGTATCTTAAAAAATATTAGAAAGGGAGAAATATATTGGATACTTCACTATATTGGAAATGTGATTTCGACATCTTTTGAAATTGCCTTTGCACTGGAGAATAGCCCCAATTATGGTGGGAAAAGAATGTTTTCCATTAGCATTCATGTTGGGGAAAAAAACTTGAAGCAAATAGGACCCTCTGTGAAAGCTCTAACATTCCTTCTGAATTGTTCGAAGAATGTAGACATGTATTTTCAATACACGAGTTAAATGTACCACTTCTAAACCACTTCCAGTTGCAGATCTATGTTTCCTGCCCATATCTCTTCTCCTGTATCCTTTGTAAAGTATGTGTGAGTGAGAGAGACTTTGCTCCCAGAAAATAACTGAGAGAGCAAAGGGTTTCTTGATAGGTGTCTTTTCTTTGTTATATATATACCTATTGGAGTAATTATCAAGAGTTTCTTGATACAGATTTCCATGTATAAAACCTTATCTTCACAATAATACTTTGATATCCTGCTCCAGCTTTTTATAGGGAGGAAATAAGTAATTAGGTTTCAATAAATCCAGGTAACTTAAAATTCAATATAAAAATTTATGCTTTTCAAAATGCACATTGATCCCTACTGCTGTTATCTCATTGTATATATTACAGCTAAATTTATAAATGGATTATTACTCAGGCACCCAAATGCACATTACTTTGTGTTCCTGCCAAAGGGCGGAGTGTTAAACAATGGCTCAAGTCAATAAGTTTCCCTGAAGAAATAAGTGGATACTACTGTGCTCTGAGTCCTTTAGATTAGATCTGTATCAATACATTGTTTACGAAAAGATGTTAAATCTTTGGGTCCATTTGCTTGAGGATGAGGTTCTGGTTCTGGTCTTGGTTTCTTGGAAATTTGCAGGTGCCAAGTTTCTTCCCCTTAAAAAGGGTCCTTGCAATTCCTTGTATTTATTGGACTCAGATGAGAATTTTTTATTGGGGATATATCTGGGTCAAGGATAATCAAAAGAAGCTCTTCCTTGGGCTTTCATGTTCGTATGCACCATGACTTTTGGGTGAGGACAGAATAGGTGAGCTGCTCAGATGCTCTTGGTTGGAGACTTACCAATATATCTTCCCTATTAATAAAAATAAAGATCACCCAAGCAGGATACTTGGATTTGTACAATGTTTCCCTTAATAATATTTTTGGTCTGACAAGATAATCTATTTTTTTAGCACATATTGAGTTAACATACAAAAAGTTAAGGGAGAAGTATTTGATAATCCACTTTTAATCATTTGTTTGAGTTAGTATTTCAATTTGTTAGATTCTAGCAACAGTAACTGAAATGGATGAGGGAAAATTTGAAATAGTACAAAATAAAATTTGTCACTAGTCAAAAAACAGCTATACAGCTGTCCTGAATCTCAATCATGGAATACCCCTGAATGAGTATCTGTTTTCTTAGTTATTTTTTAAAACCAGTTTCATGTGCATTACAAATAGTTCTTAAAGGAACAAGAAAAGATTGAAGATTTACCTGTTACATTTATACCATCCGACCTTTGACACCAGACTGTTCGGGAAGAGCCTTTCCAAGCACTAGCCATCCACTTATACTCATAGCACTGTCCATCTGCAGGGACACAGTAGATATGAACAAGAAAGGTTCTGTTTCCCAGAAGATAGTCATAGGTACAGAGCATTAATAAAACATTTGAAAACCATTGCAAGGTGACAAGTGATTCCATGTTAATTTATTGTCATGAAGTTGCTGATTAATTTTATGAAATTCCAGATATCAGGCTAATTCCCAACTGATTTTTCCATGCCTACTGTCATACCATCTGATGTGAATTTAGATTTTACTTTAAAGTACTATAAAGCATTACACATAAAGACAAAGATGGAGAATAATTCAAGAGGATATATATTTTCAATTTTGTATCATACAATGGCAAATATTACAGATTAACCATATTTGTGTTAGTTTTCTTTTGCTTATTGAGCAGTTAGAAAAGAAAATTACAAACTTGATGTCCTGTTATATTTCTTTTTCATCTGACCTCCCTGCCTGTCACCCACTAGTCTGGGCACCCACTATTCTGAAGTAGACATATGCCTTCTGGGCCTTGGGTTTTATATTCTCTGTTTCTCGCCCCCTTCCTCATTCCTCCCTTCCTCTTTCTCACTCTACATATAAAAATCTATATAACTGTATTTCACATATATATACATAAATGATTTAGTATGAAATCTTAAAATTTGAAAGTGCCATACACTACATACTCTGAAACTTAGCAATCAACATTACACATGAAATATTTCTGTGTGATGTTTTAATGTAGATTCAGCTCACATATTTTGACTGCTATATAGAATTCTATTGTAGTAAATTTCACAAATTAGCTAGCTATTTCCTGGGTGGATTTTCAGATTGTTTTGAACTTTGGCTATTATAACAGTGTCCTGGTGGTCAATCTTGTACAAGTCTTCTAATGCTGCTCTATGGGAACTAACTAACTAGGAAGGAAATTTCTATCACCCTAGAGATAGCTGACTCTGTACTAAACTAGGGCTCATTTGTTTCTTTCTGAAAGGTGACAATTTCCATATTTACTAGCAGTAAATAAGGGTCACCATTGTTTTAAACTGGCAAATATTTGTAATTTCCAGATTTTTAATTTGTCAGTATTATGAGTGTGGAAAGCTATTTTATTATTTTAAAGATACTTACTTAAAAAAAAAAAGATTATTTATGGGATGCAGGCCAGAGGTATGGGGGGGGTGAGAGGATTCACCAGAGACAGATTGGGGAGCAGAACAGGCTGATCTACTGAAATACACTGCTGAGGTTGGCAAAGGATGAGACAGGAGAGGTCTGCTGTGCCATATGTGGGTCACCTCCCTGGCTGTGGGTTGAATCCAAACTGGAATGGTGATAGTGCTGAGACTTAACCTCTAGGCCACCAGGGAGGCCCGATGTTGTTATTTTAAAATTACACTTTTCTGATTACTAAAAATAATAAACAAAAATGTTTAGAGGTATTTACATTTTCTCTTCTGTGAGTTATTTGTATCTTTGGGCTATTTTCCCCCATTGAAATAGGGGAAATTTTCCTTTGAGTTGTAGGAATTCTTGTGATCTTTAGTTTTATCAATTTAGATAGAACTCTGTGCAGCTTTTGTGGTAAGGGAGGTCTAATAGCAGTGAATTCCTTCACTATTGTTTCACTGGGAAAGTTGTATTTCTCCAAGAGTACTCTTGGCTGGTAGATTTTATCTTTGAGTATTTAAATAAACACTGGATTATAACTGTTTAGGTTTGAGGTATGCATCATTATAAATCTGCATCTCTATGTACATTATGTTCACCACCAAATGTCTAAGTCCATTTTTCCCCAAGCAATTGACTCCTTTTTACCCTAGTACTCTTTCCCTTCCGGAGACTATTGATTTTTCCCATTGTATACTCTTGGCTTTTTTTGTCAATATGTGTAGGTTTATTTCTGAGTGTTCATTCTGTTCCATTGATTTGTGTGTCTAGTTTCATTTCAATGCCATGCTATATTATTACTGCTCTGTAGCATAGTTTGAAATTAGGCCTCATGATACCTCTACTTTTATTCTTTCTCAAAATTGTTTGTTATGTAGGGTCTTTTGTAGTTCTGAATAAATTTCAAGATATTTTCTTCTACTTTTATGAAGAATGCCTTTGGGATTCTAATAGGGGATACAATATTACCTATATTGCTTTAGGTAATAGCCATATGTAACAATGTTAATTGTCCCTGTCCATAAACAGAATATCTTACTTTTTTTAATATTTGTGCATACAGAATTGGGCTACAGGACAGAGGTGCAGGGGCTGCAAAAGGATTCAGCAGAGACAGAGTGGGGAGCTGAACAGGCAGATGAACAAAGTATACTGCTGAGGGGAGCAGCAGGTAGGTCAGGAGAGGTCTGCCATGCCATGTGGATCACCTCTGGGGCAGGAGGGGATCAACTCATGCGAAAGTGGCTTTAGCTTCTTAGTGCTGTGCTTTAACCTGCTGTGCCACCAGCGAGGGCCCAGAATATCTTACTTTTTTTTTTTTTATGTCATCTGTTTCTTTCAATGACATCCTAAAAGTTTTCAGTGTTAGACCTTCCATTTACACCAAAGTGTTTGTTTTTGATGTGATTATAAATGGGGGTTGTTTTTATGAGTTCTGTTTGCTAGTTCATATTTGAGAATTGGAGTGCATCAGATTTGTATACAATAATTTTATAGACTGATAATCATTTCTAATAGGCTTTTTACTGGAGTCTGACATTTTCTGTGTTTAGCATGCCATCAGTGAACAGTGATAGTTTCACATGTTCATAATGCTACTTCCTTTTCTTGTCTAATTACTTTGGCAAAGACTATCAATATTATATTGAGTACTAGTTGTGACAGTGGACATCCTTGTCTTTTTTCTGATCTCTAAGGAAAAGGTTTCACTTTTTTCCCATTGAGTGAGTGTTATTTTGGCTATGGGTTTATTATATGTGGTCATGATTATGTTGAAATAATGGCTGTACCTATGTTGGTGAAGGTTTTGATCATAAATTGATGTCGAATGTTGAAAAATGCTTTCTCAGCAGATATTGAGATGATTATATGATCTTTGTCTATCCTTTTAATGTGGTGTAGAGTGTGTATTGATTTGTATGCATTGAATCATCCCAGTGTCCCTGGAACCCTCCCCCCCACTCATCCATGGTATATGGAATAGTTTTGAGGATTTTTAAATTTATGTTCATCAGATATATTGTTATGTGGTTTTCTTTGTGATGTCCTTGCTTAGTTTCAGAATCAGGGAAACATGATTGGACTTTTCATTTATTTTTCACTTTTCTAGAGCCATTTGAAAAGGATAGTTATGTACTCTTTGAAAGTTTGGCAGAATTTACTTGTGAAATCATTAGTTCCTTCTATTTTATTTTGGGGGGAGAAGAGGTTTTTGATTACTGTTTTGATTTTTGTCACAAGTAGGGTTTTTTCACATTTTCTATCTCTAAGAATTTCTTCTAGATGCTCCAAATCTCTTATAACTTCTGTTTCTGAGTTTGAATTTTCTCTTTGTGATTCTGGTTAAATGTTGCACCCAGGTAGTAGCTCTTGGTTCATACATTGTGTGCTTTATTCATTCATGTTTGGTCCCCGAGGAGCTCCCATCACCAAACCTGTTATGCTTTTCCCAACCATTTAAAACCATTTTTAATAGTGGTTTAGAAGAATGTTGCACAATCTTCACACCAGCTTTCTCCTTTTGGTGGATTTCTAGTATCATAACAGTGTGGTTCTCCCAAAAAGCTTTATATGATTTCCATTTTCCTAAGTTTATTGAGATATGTTTCATTTCCCAATATATAGTCCACCCTTGGGAATATTCTGTTGGCACTTGAGAAGAATGTGTATTCAATTTAGGGGAGAAATTCTCTGTAAATATGTCTATCTCCTCTGAGTTTATATTTAAGACCACTGCTGCTTTTTCATTTCCTGTCTGGGTGTTCTTTCCATTACTATATGGGTGGGGAGGGGCAGGATGTTAAATCCCCTACTGTTATTAACCTAAAGGGAATCAGCAACACTATTTTACATATTTTGGTACTCTTATATTTGGTGCATAATCATTAGTGAGTGTTATGTCCTCCTGTTCTATTAATCCCTTTATCAGTATAAGTGGATCTTGTTACCATCTCCTGTTAACCTTTTTTTGTTGGGAGATTTCATATGGTATTACTGGTTACTGACTTTACACATTTTTCATTTGCCACCATCAATTTGTTTCCATTGAGACTTGTTCCTAAATGATGAGATGGTTCTTGAAAATGTGATACATTGCTTACATTTACTGCATGGCTCTATTTGTGTGTACATATACACACATAGAACATATATGAGAGTACATGTTTATGTCATAACAAACCAATATGATTTTTGAAGTTCCAAGAATATTTTAATGGTTTTTAGATTCAAGTGTGATCAATATTGTGAATTACACACTTACTGTAACTCCTACCTTTAAGTAAGATCCTCACAAATTTGTAGGACTTAAGGGAACATTTTTTATTACATATATTAACTTACAATACAAAACTAAAATGGATGCAGGTACTCACCATCACATGATTTTGTTTCTAACATTTGCTCTGGGCATAGATGTTGATTCTCTAGCTCTTGTATTATCACTGCTCTGGAACGGACCTGTATTCCACCAAAGCCAAGGTCCTCGCCATTTACACAAGTCAGCTGACACAAGCTCCATGAAGACCAATCCTTCAAGTAACAGTCACCTGTAAAACACAGCATGTATTTTATACATATGTGCACAAATAGTCTATAAATCCCATTATGAATCCCCCCCTAATACCCTATGTGGAAATGTGTGGGGTGGTCCCTAGGAAAAGGGGAAGTTCCAGGTTTCCTGCCCCACCCAGAATGAGTGTGGAGCTGAGCAGAGAAAAAAGACAGGAGGAAGAAGGCAGGAGTATGGAGAGCCAGAAGGAAACCTGAGGAAGCCACATGGAGCAGCAAGCATGTGAGGAAGAAACCGTGCTTGTTTCTTGGCCCTGGGCTGGTTGAGGCAGATGTGGGTGAAATACCTGTAGGGAGGTGACTATGGCAGTGTTTATATTGATTTTGATCTTGCTCTTTTTCTTCCAGACTTGTCTGGCCATTTCTGATCCTTTTTTATGGGTCCTGGCCAGAAGGTGCTTTAGGCTTGTGGTGGGCTTTCAGGCCTTGCTTTGGGCCAATCCCTTTTATTTCAGGTATTTGATTTATACATTATATTCTTTGTATTAAAAGTCCCTTTTCATTAAAGTTTTATATGTTTTGTCTTGATGTGGCAGAACCCACTTAGAGCAGGCAGCAGGCAGGTTTGGGGCTTCGGTGGTACCCCTCTCTCCCTGCCCTGTAACAAAATAACAAAACCTCTATGGGAGACCCTCTGGGTCCCCTTTAGATGCATCGATGGTGTGCTTGATACTACTCCATGGAACCTTGTGGAGCTCCACTGAAGCACCTATTGGTATTCTAAAACTGCTTACAGATCCACACATGGATAGCCTCACAGACTTCCCTGTGTTTGCCCATGGAGGTCTGTATAGTCCCTCCTACAGAGGCATGCATAGACCCATCATGGGTCTTCTTGACTCGTCAACCTGGTTGGTTTTTGTAGGAAATGAGCAGATATATGAATTCTATTTTGCTGTTCTTACCTGGGCAAGGCTGGGTACAAGTTTCCTCAAGGACCACTTTTTTATTACCATCTATCCTGGGTTCAATGTCAGCACAGAATTCTTCATCCACCACTTTACTGAAGTCTTCAGCTGACCCTTCACTCACTACACAAGAAATGTTCCTTGTTCTGGTTCCTTCTCCACACTGTGCATCCTGGAATGAAGAAAATAAATCACTAACAAAAATAATCTGGGAAACCACATCATCACTTACAATCATCTCTGCAACCACTTCTTTTGATTTTTGAGCAGTTCAAGAAGAGTTTGCAACACTAGGGAATAAGTCCTTTATAACATTTCAACTATAAAGATACAATGAACAATTTGTTTTCTAACCAAAGACAGGCAAATAAATTTTCATTACAATGAATCAGTCCCCAGATGATTTTTAAAATACAGGGCAGGGAATGTTTGTTACAAAAAAGAATTAAATGTTTCTGAAATCTTCAAGATGATAACCTGCCATGTGTAAGCTTTGAAAACTTCTGGGCCCTCCCTGGTGGCACAATGGGTTAGGATGCAGCACTGCAAGCTGGCGGCTGCCGCTTCGGTGTGAGTTTGATCCCCAGCCCCGGAGGTGACCACATGGTGCAGCAGACTTCTCCTGACCCGCTCGCCGCCCCGCACCCCAGTTCTGTATGAATAAGCTTTTAAAAAATATATATACATTTCCACACAACTTCTGGACACCTGATACCTGCACATGGCATGGAGACCATGGTCCATATTGCCACTGGTAACAGGGTTTCACTGGGCAAGGCTTGGATTGTTCCATCAGGACAGGACATGGTCTTCCATCACCCTGAAAGGGCTGGGTCACTGTTCTTTTTCGAATCATTTTTCCTTTAAGAGATACAAAATGACAACTTTTATGATGTATGGCAGTTCTGCAGGCATATATCATTTTGGGAGGACTAGTCATCTTTTCTGAGGATATCTAAAAAACCCGTATGGTTCAGATCATTTGCTAAGATTCTAATTTACCCTTTCTGAAGATAATTTGGTAAGCCTTAAAGCAATAAAGACATCTTATTTCATATTCCTTAACCACTGGCCCAGTGCCAATTACATTTCACACAAACCTGTGAGGCCACAAGTTTGAGAACATTCTGACCAGGGAGACCAGTCGGAAAGCTGACAGTTCACGGGGCACTCCACCGCGCAGGATGTGTTCATTTGCCAGTTCTTCTCCAGTCTAAGCTGAAAGAGCAGAGGCAGAGGTATGGCCACAATGTATTGTTGGAAGAAGGAAGAGAGGAAAGGGAGAACAAATGCATAATAAAGAAAAATAAACATCTGGAGGCTACTCAAACTGTTTTGACCCAGGGCAGTGGGAGCAAAGGGCCTAAAGCACATGGAAGAGCACATTTATTTGCTAAATACTGTGAAGCCCCTTTCATTGCTTTTTGAAAAAGTGTGTTTACAAATTGGTTGAGTTTCCCTAAATGAGGAACAAATGAGTGTAAGAATATTTAGTTTTTAATTAGTTAAAAACCAAGATTATCAATATTTAGATCTATATTATGTTGTTATATGTGTACTCATTAAAGGGAAAAATCTTCAAGACAGGCTGACACGCAAAATAAATGACACTTTATCTCCCAGGTGTTAAAGTGCAGCACTATAAAGCTAGTTGCAGCCACTGCAACGTGAGTTCGATCCCTGGCCAGGGAGCTGACCCATATGGCGTGGCAGACCTCTTCGGCCCCGCCTGCTGCTCTCCTCAGCACTGTATTTCAACCCGCCAGTTCTATTCCCCACTTTGGTGAATCCTCGCACCCCCTACCCAGATCCAGATTCTCACACCTCTGATATACACTCCAGCTCTTCTATGCATAAAAACAAATTAAAATGATATGTGTTACTTGAAATATATTACATTCATATATAATTAATCTATTTCTCAAAAGGAAATGTGAGTCACCAGCACTTTTTTTAATAGGGATTTTTATATATGTCTATATTTGTTAAAAACAATTTTCTCTTTGGGATACCTGATCTCTGCAGCTAACTGTGGTACAAAAAATCCAGTTACTTTGGTGCTACCCTCTCATCAAATAATAATTTTATGCCATTGTATTGGCATTGGGTTCCATTACCACTACTGACTGATTTATTTCACTACAGAGGTAAAGAGGCTATCTGTTTACATATATGTCAGACATCCTTCAGTGAAACATTTTAACTCCCAAGAATTTTTTCTTAGGATATTTGTTGTATCTTTTTCTTTCTGTTTTTAGCTCTAAATCATATGATGAAATAGGTGTGAATTAAATCTTTTCAGTGATACAAATAGGAAAGAAGAAATCTATTACTAGGTAGGTATTATGTAGATAAATGCCTGAAAACCACTGACAACACACTACCATACAACTGCTAACTAGGTTTAACCCTGCTTTTCTTCTTTATTGGGTAGTGATGCCATCTTTCTTTATGGCTAGTAGAGAAGCAGTGAGTTAGCAACTGCTGGTGCATTGAATATGGAGTTTGTACAGTAGTCAGGCATTCACTCCACTGTTTAAAAAGATAACCAGCTTTCCTTGAGGCCATCATCTAATCCTACTGCCTCCACAGGGATGGATAAAACCGACACGAGAACTCACTTGCTGCAGACCAGTGCTGTTTTCTCGAAAGATAGCACTTGCTAGAATGTTGTAACTTGAACCTGAGTTGTCATTGTAGTATTCAAACATAATATTTGCACATAAGGGAAATTTATCCAGATAGGTAAAATCTGTTACTTCTCAGGTATTTACTGATATTACATTTATGAAATTAAAGGTCTTATGTATATCTGTCCTATAAATTTGTTTCCGTGTAATTTGGGTTTAACTTTCAAAAAGCTTTAAAATATTAATTGTATATGTCATTATACCCCACGAGGGCATCTGTATGTGCAAAATGTGGGGACATATTAATCAAATGGTAGAATGACAGAAAGGTTTCCAACCACTATGGACTATAATAATCTTCATTAATAATATTTTAAAATAATGGTTACATGAATTCAGTATTATTAGTTTCAAAGCTAAGTTAATTTAGTTGTGAAATTTCTAACTGAATCTAAATTATGAATACATTAAATGAAATTATAAGAGAATGGTGAGTTTCAGCACTTATGAGAGTTCTTTTCCATGATGTGAGGAGGTTAGTTAGGACCACTTGATACAGATAGCAAATGAACTAAAATATGTGTCAGGTTTTCCCTTAGGAGTTGTAACAATTTACTGTGGTCATCATAGTTACTGAGCACTGAGATCACCAGGGCCCCCACCATGTGTTTCAGGTCTGTCAAAGCTCCTGCTTACCTTGATTCATAATGAAGCCAGTGGGCCTTAGATGCAGGAGAGTCAAAACCTGTCAGAAATGTGAGTACCCTCTTGGTATGGAGTACAGATAAAATTACTACAACATGAAGTGTTGTAAGTACTTCATGAAAAAAGGCCAAAAATCATGCTTTCTTGCATTACATAAGATCACAGCTAAAAATCCTACTGTTGTAAATTAGATAATTGACAGCTCAAATTCTCTGCACTTAAATGATACCATGAGCCCATCCCTTTGTTTGACTTTCAAGCTTTCTCTATTCAGGTCTGAGTACTTGGACTCTCACAGCTGGATATTAGATCCTAATATCAAAATCTGCTACTAACCACATGTGATCAATGTTTAGAAACAGAGGGACTACATGATAGGTCTTGGCAGGTGTCCCAGGCAACACAAAATTCATATGAAATTACAAAAAATGATGAGTCGTCTGATTAAGATTTATTGCTTTTATGCACCTTGATTACTTATTGTTCCCCAAGCCTGTCTTTCAGAACAGGGTAATTAGCATACCTTTGGGCTACAAGCAGAACAAAACACAGGAAATTATGTCTAGAAATCAGGAGTGTTGGACAGTGTCTCTTATCCAGTGGAGCTTAACAGCCTCTGAATAGGGCTGGAAAACATCTGCTGGCACTGAGCTGCACGGAGCACAGGTCACTTGGCTCAGCATGAATTGAAAATATTAAGAGAAAATTGACTCCCAAAGATGTAACACAGCGTCCACTCACCTCTTCACAATATTTCAGGTCAACCGACTTGCCATCACTTCGAACACAATCCAGCATCCTTGTTTTAATGCCATTTCCACAAACTGCCTTCTCGCTTAGCTGACATGTGCTCCAGTCTGAAAAGAAGGAAGCCCATCAAGACAGGAGCTGTGCGGGAAGCAAATTTCAAACGAAGCTCTGATGACCTGAATCCCGTATTTGATTCACAACTGCTCCTTAAGCTCCACAATCAATCATCCCACATGCAGAGCATATGGGGCCCAGCTTTGAACATATCAGGAGTCAAATGGAATTGCTGGGCTGCACCTAGCTATGGGGATTAGGTTTGTAGGCAGATGTCTACTTGGCAATCCTGCCATCTAGCCATTCAGAGATATTGTAAAAATGGTTTTGGCCTGCTGGTCAAATGTCATTTAAAAATTTGCTAATAAAAGAATTTAAAAGTTGATAATTTTGTTTTAGCCAAATCATAACTAATGCTGATACTTGAACTATGTAACTGTATTCTAATAAAATACTGTTTTACTTATTGTCTATGTAGGCATTTATTTCAAAATTGCTTTGGCTACATTTTCTTCTCTTACTTTGTCTTTTACAAAATATTTCTTTCATCTTCCCTTCTCCCCCCATCCCCCACCCAGGGCAACACAGCATATCTTAGAGAACGGTGATTTCTTTGTGGCATCAAAGGAAATTTGAAGAGAAAAATCAAAAGAAACAAAAAAACATTGTGACTGCTATTTGTCACTGTCCAAATTATTGGAGTTTATTTCAGTGTGAAAATTACTTGGAAAAATTCCAACGTAAGCTTCCATGTTCCTCCAAGTCATATAAGCTAACAAAACCTGTCCTTTCCTATCTGCTTTGATGCTATGAGATGAGGGTAGGAAAATTCTAGAACTTGTAATAAACCTGTTTTTCTAAAACATACATCTATCATTTGTCATCTATATCTTTTATAATACTGAAATAATTCTAGTTCCCTCATACTTTTTTTTTACAAGTTTAAGATTGCTTTCATTTTTGTATCAGACTAATCATGTTTTTGTACTATCACTTACACAAAGAATTATTGTCCCAGTATTTATACTGTTATAATGATTCAAATCCTTGAAAGGAGGTATTTTTCAATAAATCTGATGCCTATTTGCACCTTCCCAAAGTGGGAGAGGTCTTTAGAAGGATTGCTTAGAATATTTCTTATACTAACATTTAGTTTCTCTTAAGGGCTAACACTTGTGTGATATATTTTCACTTTTTAGTCTTGAAATTTACTTAAAAATAACAGCTACAGGATTTGGTATTTCAAGAGTTATTTCTGGGACAATAGGTAGTTTGTCCGAAAGGTGTACTGATGGAAAAAAGCAATGTTAATGAGAATGCTGCAGAGCTGGAACCGTCAACTTCATGATCAAATGACTGGCCACATACCTGTTACATTATAATCATAGTGGAAGCAGTTTTTGTTCAAGTTGCAGGGCTCCTTCTCAATAGCATCAGGGCAGGATCTTCCTTCATCAGCAGGTTGCCTAATGGGTTCAGCTGACCTTTGCCGGAAATTGCTTTGATTGCAAGGCTGACAGAGAATGACATAACTCCTCAGAAAGGTGACCGCTTAGCCACACAGTGCCAGTGAGTTAGGGAAAGTGCTGGAGAGGAGTTAGAACAATCTGGCCACTGGCTAATTTAACTTCATTATGCCCCTGTTTCATCTTTAAAATAAATAAGCTTCCCATCTAGTTATGAGGTACTGAAGTCTCTGTGTCAAATAGGAATAATCATATTATATATATAATGCCATATATTAATTACTGTAGATCAGTAATACAATTCTTATCTCTCATATTTTAATTATTATCTAGCCTCATGATCCCAGGCACAGCAAATTTTAAGAGTGATTTGAAATAAATAGCTGTTAGTGACTTTTACATTTCCCAGTATATATACACACAAACACAGTTTGTCACCTACAAAGACTAGCTAGCCATTGCCTATCGATTCACTTTTGTTCTGAAAACACTTTCTTTCTACGAACAGGAGCAGTAGCTTCAGATCTGATATTATGGAATGAGACCAGGATGTAATTTGCATATCCCGTGAAACAGTGACGCTTCACTGCAGTCTCACCTGTATCCAAAGCAACTGCCAGCCGTGTTTTGCCCCTGCTCGGCTGCTAGTCAGCACCTCTAATAATGTTAACATGAAGATAGAAATTTAATTTCTCCTTCAAAACATGTATCATACATCCTTTGCAACTGTCTTATATTGTCTTTCAGCCAATTAATTCAATAGACGTGATTTTATCCTTATGCTTTTGATGCTGTCTTAAAGATAAACACATAGCTTTTACCAAAGTGTTCAGGGGTAAGCCAAATTGTCTACACTATCAGTCAGTTATGTTTCAGTTGACACTCTTCCTAGGATCCCTACTGGCTCTGCAAATCTAGCAGCTTTGTGTGTTTTGAAATTCTTAGCTGGCTTTCCAGACCCAAAGAGACCCAGAGTCAGTGTGTGGAAAAAGATTCACTGATGCACAGCTTTCTTCTCTCTACTCCCTTTCTTACTGGGTCTTTGAGTTTAGTGTCAATGCCCCTGCTGCAGTACCCCACTGTGTGAAAGATTATTCCTACCATTAAATAAAATGGAATGGGCAAAAAGCAAGAGATAATAATAATCCAACACCATCAAAGTACCTTAACTACAGCCTCATTCTCTTCCCCTTTACCTGAAGGGAATCATTACAACTTTCGGTTGTGCTGCATGGTGGTGGACCATAAAACTTGCAAGAGGCCGAGCTGTTCTAGCATGAATTGACACATTGCTGCCTTAAACAGCATACTCAGACAATGAATTGACAAGAAAATACTCCTTGCTTTGGCAATGGATTTCGTTACTGGTACCTAATTTAGAAACCATTGTCTTTAGAAAGCTTTAGTGGTAAGGAACTATGCAAACTCTACATTAATAAATGGGTAGTCATCTTACCAAAGTGCATCGGGTCCACGGACCCCACTCAGAGATCACACAGTCCTCTGGACATGGCAGTTTGCACTCTCTAGAGCCCAGGGGCATCTCCTCTGGGTCACATAAGTAATCCTCTACGTGGTCAGAAGGGCCATCTGCTGTGTTCTGCATGCATCTAGAAGAAAACATGTAATTAAAGGACCTAGGATGTTTAGAATAATGGCCAGCCCACAGGACTGGTTCTTCTTAAAGCATTATCATGGGGTTGGGCGGTGGGAAAGTTTGCATTTAGTAAAACTCTCCATACATAAGACATAAAAGGATCTCTCTGTCTCCCATAAATGTATAGTGCTGTGGTATGATTTAAAAATCTGTGCTTGCCTGTAAATATCCACTGTGTATATGCAAACTCTTTATGTCTTCCTATGAAAGGAGAGGATCACCTAGACTTATACATGATGCAGAAACTGATGAGGAATGGTTCACAAAGGCTGAGAGGTTGCAATTTTGGAATGCAACACAATTTCTCTTCTGAAAAAAATGGTGAATTTATAGAAATGGTACATTCATATGTGATAGAAGACGAAGCATACTGAAATTTCCTAATGAAAAGTTTGTTTTTGAAAGTAACTGATGGCACTTTTTAAATTGTTTTGTAAAGTAATTAGCCTCCTATCTGCTGATAACCTTAAAAGACAGCCAGAAGTGAAAAGCCAATTAAAATAATAATAGCATAAATTCTTTAAGTGTGGGAGTTCAGATCTTTCCATATCATGCCATCTCTGTTGTTTTCTTTTTAACAACAAATTCAGACATTTTATTACAATTCATTCTACTGTAAGTCATTACAAATGGCTCTTTACTCATCTCTGGAGAATCTAATTAAGGTGGTTAGTACCAGACTTTACTTTTACAGAAGTTAATAATCTCTCCCGGCACTTTTCTAGTAGAAGGGAAAAACTTTATCCCTCATCTATAAGTCAGAGAAGGTCAACCAGAGTAATGGGTTTGGGAAGAAAAGTGCATTGCAGAAGATGAAAAGGAAGACTTGAGCTCTTAAGCCTCTCAAACCCATCACGATGTTTTAAAATGTCAGCTGAATTACATTACCAATTATACCTGGAATCTTAACATTTTTTAGGGATTTATAATCAGTAGGGACATTGCATCTTCAGAAATCTACTCAGCACAATCACCTTTCTAGAGAGACCTGCCAAACCTGGAGGAAAATGTGGTGCTATTCCTATTTTAATTGGGTTTGTAGCCTGAAAAAGTATCCATACAAATATCTAGCTTGGCCCTTGGCACAGCAGATTAAAGTGCAACACTGTGAAGTTGGCTTCCAGCAGCTAGGGTGCAAGTTTGATCCCGGGCCACGGAGGTGACCCACATGGCACAACAGACCTCTCTTGACCCACCCACTGCTCCCCTCAGCAGTGTATTTCATCAGTTGGCCTGTTCTGCTCCCTGCTCTGTCTCTGGTGAATCCTCTCACTGCCCCTGCACCTCTGGCCTGTACCCCAGTGCTGTATGCATAAATAAATAAATCTTTAAAAAACAAAGCAATCACAAAACACATAAAGATAGATACATATCTTAAAATTTGTTTCCCTGGAAAAAGTTCTACATTGGTGGCACTTTCTTTTTTCTTTAAAGATTTATTTTTGCATAGAAGAACTGGGGTGTAGATCAGAGTTGTGTGTGTGTGTGTGTGTGTGTGAGAGAGAGAGAGAGCGAGAGGGGTGGGTTAAGAGAATACACCAGAGACACAGTGGGGAGCAGAGCAGGTGATCTACTGAAATATACCCTGAGGGGAGCATGGGGGATATAGAAGTGGTCAGTTGCTTCATGTGGGTCACCTCTCTGGCCAGCGATCAAACTCACACAGCAATGGCTGGTGATAGCTTGATAGCTCTGAGACTTTAACCCCTGTGCCACAAGGGAGGGTCCATTAATGGCACTTTTTAAATGCTTAACATTGGCATCTTTGAGAGGATGTGGAGCAGACGGGACAGTTCAGGGCTCAAAAATTGGGAATTCCTGTTTAGAGAGGTTTGTGTTCATGGGGTCTGACATATATACCAAGAACAACTTGGAAAATTACTTATTGATCTAGCATTAAGGACAGATGTTCAACATCCTGTAAAGTAGTTATGTATATAGAAAATTTTTGAAAGGCTTATCTCTTCCTTTAATTTTTATTACATAGGTAATATATTCCTGTTAGGAAAATCAGAACAATAACAATTCACTTTCTATCAAAGATAACTAAAATAGAATCAAATTTACCTGCTTGTACCACTTGAAAAGAAAAAAAAAAATAAAATGCAATGAAACAACAGGAATGTCATGTATTATTTTTCTAAGATACAATTTTAATGACTACCCTTGAATGTGCTACAATTGATAAAAACTAAAACAAAACAAAAACACCCAATTGTTGACATACAGATTGTCTGTTTCACTTATTTGGCATTAATATCTTCTTAGTCACTCTAGAGTACAGAAGAAATGTTTGGTTGAAATTATGAGCCCAAAGGAAAGCACTTTTAAGTCCATTTACTTTCTTAAAATTCTTTGCTTTTCTTCATTGCATTGGAAAAGACTATGCTGTGTGAAAATTAAACTGTATTAGAAATGCATAGTCTAAAACTAAGTTGGGATAAAGGTGGGGGTCAGAAGCACATCTAGCTGTGGCAATAAGGTTCACTCTCTGCAGATAATTGTTTAAAAAATAGTAATAACTAAATTTGCTTTCAGTTATTCTTGTGTTGGCAATTCTAAAAATGATGTCAGTGAAAAAAATGTACCTTCCTACCAGAGCAAACCACTTCTACTACTGATTCTTTGATATATCAAAACATTCTAAAAGAGAAAGAATGAGATAGGATGAATTGAAACCTTCTCTCTCATAGACTCAATCTATCCTGAAATGTCAGCCAGCCCTTGCTCTAAGCAGGACATTCTGACCTTAATTGGTGGAGGATAAGGTTAGAATCTGTACTACTTATTCAGTTACAAATAGGAACATTATTACATGATCAGAAATCACAATCAATATGGACCTCTTTTCTCTATCTGCATTAAAATGTCTACTGAAAAAAATGCATTGATATGAGAAGTTAACATTAAGATGTACCTTGAATGTTAAAAATATTCTCAAGGAAAAAAGCAGCATGTACACAGATAACTGAAGGAAAAACTGAAAGAACAGTAGTTACTATTATTATTATTTTACAAATGTAAGGTACAAACTGCTACAATTCCTGTCCCTTTAAGTTCTTCAGAAAAATAATTTGAGAGTTCAAGTGGGCTTTGAAATAAGAAATAGAAATTATATCAGAAAAAAACATTACTTACTGTACTAAATGCTAATTTGTTCAAATTTCCTATCATTCAATATGTGAGAATGAGCTTCCTTGAATCATAAGTTGTCATGTTCTGGGGATTTGTTTATATTTATGTGTACTATATGTCACTCAGCAGGGTTAGAAGAAACTGGCATAGTTAACAAGAGTGAAAAGAAAAGGCTTTGAATGACAGTTCTTGTCGTTTTACCAGATGTGTGTTCGTGGTAAAAGATGGAGTGATCTGAGGACTTAGAATATTGTACTCTACACATTGAAAATAATAAAACCTCACACACTTGATTCACAGTGTTCAAGGATTGTTAAAGAACTGCTACTGCTGCTGAAGGGAAAATTTAATAAGTGTCAAACTTGTGTTAGGGAATTTCTATGAATATGAGGAATATGAAAGAGTCCCAGTTTGCAAGTTCTGTAAAGGCAACATACAAATGGGTCTTTGAAAACAAGCAGCATGTGGGGACTGCAGAGCAGCAGTGCTCACAGAACTTTCTGAGGTCTTGGAAGTACTCTGTGTGCTAACAGGACAGCCACCAGTCACCTATGGCTCTTGAGGAAATTAAGTACTCTGGTGTGACGAAGAATGCATTTTTAGTTCTATTTGATTTTAATTAGTTTAAATTTAAGGTGAAGCAGGCACAGTCAGGCAGGGTTTTAGGGAAGGCTTGCTGGAGGAGATGAGAGTTTTCAGGAGTTAGCCAGTTTGACATAAAGGAGTAAGAGTATAACAGATTATCATGGAAATGCTCTCAGAAATGTACTTGACCTTTAAGAGCAACTATGGGGTTGGAGAAATCTATATGACTTTAGTCTACATTTACATCTACATTTCCCATCAAGAGCTTCATAAATCAGAAGACCCAATGTGATATATTACTGCTTAAAGTAGATTCTCTTATTGGAGTTTTTCAGGAACACAGAATCTCTAAGGGTAAAACTAAAAACAGTTTCATTCATGAGATTAGGGAGGATGAGTTGACTCAGCATGAGTCAACTGAGAGGTGGTTGCGGTTTTGCCTTATCTTTACATTTCAATCTTGCCTTACCTCACTTTTCGGGTCTGCACGCCCTCTCCACAGTTCTCCCTCATGTTCACAAAGGTCACCTTGCAGACGCTCCATGGCTCTGTGGTCCATATGTACTGGTTGCAGTCACTGTGGCAAGGGACAACCTCATACACCTGGAACACACATAGTTTCAGTGGTCTCACCTCAGGAAACCAATGGGTCCTTATCATAATGACTGTTGTGTGCTCATGAAGAACTTTTATTCCTCTTGCTTATGTTTATTATGCTAAAACAGGGATATAGAGAACTTGCTTGAGCATGATCGTTGTAAAGGGCAGGGGTAGCTGCATTGTAGTCTGCTGCTTTCTTTGGTTGCAGTTGTAGATCTGATGTGTGGGACCACATTAAATTAAATATACACTATATACTTCCCTGTACCACCCCTGCCCACAGAGTGTTGTAATTTCCTGAGTCATCTGTCATGTCCACAGTTGTGTGTGTCATCAACACTTAGTCATGGGGAAAACTCCTATGCTAGGCATTCAATAGAGATTCGGTGAAAAGATGAATGAATGAATGAATTTAAATATACATATCAAATAATTATTAAAAAATACATTTGGGCCTTTTTCCCTAATAAATATGTCTAACAATGGGAATTTCTATTTTTGGTGTTCCATGTATGAAACTAAAGGACAATATGAGATAGTTTTTTTGTTATTATTTCCCCCATTTTAATATTTCTTTCATAGTGAAGTGAAATAATACTCACCTCAAAATAACTGGCAAATAGCTTTTTTACTTGTATGAGACCTTAACAAATAGTACTTTAATGTGAACCTTCAATCATTTAGGGCTTGGAAGCAAAGTCTGAAATTGGTCTCATCTTGCACAGCTACTGCCCAAAGCAGTAAGGCCACACAAAACAAGGCTAATTGTCTGGCTCAGCCACACAGGCTTTCAGTTTGTGTTTGAGGTGATGTGTTTGGTTTCAGAACAATGAACCAAGTGTGCTATTTTCTTAATGAAAATAATGATTAAATAAAGGAATATAATAAGTGGACCATCATCTACTACAACAAAGTTAAGCTAACCATCAAATAAAAATGTCCTTTAAAATATTTCAAAATCTACAATAATTTCACTCTATTTCCTATTTTTGACATATATGCATTATAGTATAACATATAGTGTATGGTTTGACTATTTAATTCCAGAAAAAAAAATAGATTTAAATAAACTACTATTTTGTGAAAATTAAGTGGGCTGAACATCCAAATGAAGTGAGTAAAGTCGACTTATTCCAAGTAAGAATAAGTGTGTACATAGTTGAAATAAGAATATACTACTGTCATAAGTGATCACTTTCACTTTGGGTGCTGTGTTAAAACAGGACTAAATACTGGTGGAAAACATAACACTACTACTTTTGAGGAAGGGAAAATACCCTTCTAATAATTGAATGGCTTTCATTTTAATCTCTTACTGTGGAAGTAATACAAACCATTTTTGAGCAACCCACCACTGCCCACTTTCAAGCCAACTGTATTCTTCATTTTTGTCTAAGGATCTCATACTTTATGAGATCAATTAATAAGAGGATTACTGCCTCTTTAAGGCTAGTGAAGCAAAACTTGTTCTCTTTACCCATCAGGTCAGGCCCTGGTATAACTATGACAAAAATGAAAAACCAGGTAACATGCTAGGAAACAAGAGAGAGCACACTTAACAAAATTTTATGGAAAATATGCTATTCTCTCCCTATAAACGATGAGATAATAGAGTAAAAACAACATATTTTTTGAAATCACGAGTAAGAAATGAAACACACAGTGGTCTATGATAAGCCATGAAATTTAAAGCTTCTTACCTGTGCCTGGATTGATATTCAGTAGGAATGAAGAGAAGGGAAAGAAACAAAAATGTCAGCATATTAATGAGATGAACTCATGTTCTATGTTTCAAATGTTATTCTACTATAAAATCTATGTTTTTGGTGAATTATATTAGAACATTTCTTAGGTCTTGAGAGAAAAAAAAGGCTTATTCTGGCTTAAAATTAAGATACATTACTCAGTATTGCAATAGCACAGTCAAGGTAATGATTAGATGAGCAGTATCAAAAGCATCTTAAGAGAATAGACTTCAAAATGCACATGGGGATTTGCTTTATGCCTGCAAATATCTTGGGACCCAAATTGTATATAGACTATCTATAAATTGATTGATTGACCTATTTATTGACTTAATCGATCCATCCATCTATATTTCTTAGGAAATGAGGATGTGCTTGAGCAAATGAGGAAAATGGGAAGTCGGAAGCCATTTTCAAGTCAATGACCTCAGATTTTTTTTCTCTCATCAGTCACTCCTTTCTTTTTCCTGAAACTTTTTTTTTTTAATGTAACATTGATTGAAAACACTGTTAATGATTGATGATTTAGGGGAACAGGTTCACACTTCAGCTTTGTATGACTATCCTGCTCACCACCCCCGGCCCCAGCACCCACACTCTGCCAGCATAGTGTTCTGGCCTTTTCCTCTCTTTGTTCCTCATGCCCCCAGGAACCTCAAGGATGATGGATTATTTTACTGATGAATGCAAAATTGCAGTAAAAATCTACACTATTTATAATTTCCAATATTAACATAAAACTTCACATGATTTTTACTTACCTAATATTTTACTACTATAAAAAACCCTTAACCGTTTCTATTTTTTAACATGGACTATTTATACTCGAAGTTAAATATTCAAGGGTCAGTTCTTTTTTATTTGAGTTTTTACTTGTATTGTCATAATATACCATTGGTAAGTTGATAAGTACTTAGATGCTCATGAAACTGCATTAGAGATCATCACAGAAAGATAAAGACTTAGGTTCAATATTTTTCATAACAAAGTCAACCTGACCCAACATTGAACCTTTGAAAGTTCCCTTTTAAATAAAATACTGAGCTTATTTTAACGTAACACACACACTCACATACACTCACATGATACTATAGTATGTGTACAATCTTTCTGTTTTAGAACCAAAAATACTTACGAAAATTTAAATTTACCATTGGAAACTCAAGATATCAAAACTTATAGAAAAGATTCTTTCACATTATAAACAATACATTTCAGTTACTCTGTTTCTTTAGGGTCCTGGAATGGAATTTGCATAGTCACTACAACAGGGAACCTACTCACCAGCAGATGGCAGCAGAGCACTGAATTATTTACCTTCATTTGCCTATTAGGGCAAATTCAGCAACTTCATTGAGAGGGAAAAATTAAGGTTCTTTCAGAGTATTTTCTAGGTAGTTTAATTCTTTTCTTTCCTTGTATTTAATTCCCTTATTGAGAAGTTCCTTTTCTTTTCTTGATGCTGTGCTTTGACTGTTCTGAACTAATTTAGGTTACTTTGAGAAGGAAAGTTTGTGTACTGGTAAGAAGTGGTGGGGGGTTAGAATTAGACAATGTATGTTTGAAGCATTACATATTTAAGATTGGCTCTGACATATGACTTGACTCATTTGATTGTGACATAAATGCAATTCTAAGTATTTACACATATTGTATGAAATTTATCCTTTGTTACTTCACACATAGGCCAAACATGGTAATGGTTTGATGCATTTTAAGTATATTTAAATTACTCACAATTCTACTAGTCTTTTTACTTTATATTTCCAACAGGACATGATTGACAACAACAGCAGCTAACAATATGCATCCAAAGTGAAATAAAGTCTGAAATAAAATTCAAAAGGCCAGTGACTAAATGGACATATGACATTTTTCCGCTGACCTGGACGTCACCTTCATAGTTCACTTTTCTTAACAGACTATGTCAAACAAATTTAAATGAATTTAAAATATAGATTTATAATTTTAGGCCTTATAAACTGTGTTTTGTCTTTGATTTTTAATTTAAGTGGTTAGTAATTGAGATGTCTTTCCTGAGAGTCTCGGGTAACTGCGACAATGAGAATCTTGCTTTCTACACATGCTAGTACAATTTTAAGACATTAAGTGCTCTGACATTATTTCAGTTAGGTGTCATTTTTATTTTCACTTTAGCTATATTCATATGCATATTTAGGGTACCAAATCTCCTGAGAATGCAGAGATAATAGATCTGATCTAGGACTTCAGTAACATACATGTATTGACTAAGGCATTCTAAGAATAAAATGGTCAAATTTCTTATTCTGGGCCTATTACTTATTCACCTCCATTTTGGAGAATAAAAACCAGATTCATTGTGACTCGAAACTATACTTTAATATTCTCAGTGGTAGACCATACCTGGTTGACGTGGTCCAGTTTGGGGCATGGCCTTCCTCCATTATATGGTTTTTCACGCAGCCATTTGGACCGAACCTTCACGCCACTCCCGCAGGACTTGCTGCAGCGTGACCAGTTGGACCACTCACTGAGCTTGCAGTCTGAGGGACAAGGGATGATGCAGGCCTCTTCGATGTAACCTGAGAGGGAAAATGGGGTGAGGGTCATCTCCTCCACCTGTCACGCACCCAGGACCACTACTATTCCAGGTCATTTAGAAGGTCCCAGTTTGACTTGACAACAATGTATAAATACAGATATGTCTCTGTTGTTAGGAACACAAATTAAACGCTGCAGGAAAATGCCACATGCACACAGTGACTCTGTTAAAGTAACAGCTGAGCAGCTGCCATCTGATCTGTTTAGGATTCATGCTCACCATATTTCAACATTTCTGATATTCTGACAGCTCCTGTTTAATTGAAAATAACCTGTCTGCTGCCATAGCATTCTCTGCTGCCAGCATGATACATAAAAAAAAATAGTTTTCTATAAAATCCTGTTACTATGACACAAATTCCAGTTTGAGTCTGTACAAGGTTCTTTCTCAAGAAGAAAACCAGACCCTCTCAATCAATAACCAAAGGAAACATTTAACTTAGCACATTTTGTCTACTCTTCTTTGAAAAATCAAGTCTGAAGAAGAAAAATGAATGTTAAATAATGTCTCCTAGTTTTATCATGCTGTCAATTTCAAAGCATGTTCACATCTTGAAAATCTTCTAAATGTATTGGGTAGGTGTTGATATTCTACTGGACAAAGAACAAAACAAACGCATAGAGATAACTGACAAGTGCAAGGTCACACAATAAAAGATGGGTAAAGGTTTTCTGAGGTCCAGTCCAGGACTCATTCCATCAAATCACACAGCCAATTAACTTAATAGTCTACAGGTATGATTTGAAAAATGGGCTCATTTTCCTTGAAAAGCCTCTCACTCCCAATATGGCATTTCACACTATCAATTTATTATTATTGTTCTCAAGAAAGGAAAAACTCCCAGAATTAAGAGTCAGATACATTGCTGTCTTCTGTAATATTATGTTATGAAGACTCATTCTGGATACAAGGGGATACTACCTTACCATTTTGTATCAACATACAGGACTCCGTGTTGAAAATGATGATTTTTTCCCTTTTTTTGAAAGATTTATTTTTATTTATGCATACTAGAACTGGGACATAAGCCAGCAGTGCAGAGGGTGAGACTGACCACAGGCAGAGTGGGGAGCAGAACAAGCACATCTACTGCAATCCACTGCTACTGGGAGCAGTGGGTGAGACAGGAGAGGTCTGCTGCACCATATGTAGGTCACCTCTCTATTGGGGATCCAACTCAGGTCACAGTGGTGATAGCATGACAGTGCTGAGACTTAATTTCTACAACACCAAGGAGATACCTATAATGCAATTTTTATAATGATTATGCTGTTATAAATAATATATTGGGGAATTTTAGGTAGATTAAAAAATTAAGACATACTTTAAGATATATAAAAGCTTAAGTTTGGTGTTTTTTATTCAATGAGTTGTATGGTCATCACCACTATGTAATTATAGATCATTTTCATTACCTCAAAGAGAAACTGTACTTATCAATACTCATTTCCCATTCTCCCATTTTCCATTTCACATTATGTGAGCTTTTGTGACTGGCTTGTTTCTTTTACTTTGCTTTATGTTTTCCTCAATGGCATATCAGATGCAGTCTTCTTAAGTGACTTAATGATATTCTATTGCATGCACACATCATATTTTATTTATTTATCAGTTGATTGTTATTTTTAGTTGTTTCCACAGTTCTATAACATAACATTGCTGTAAGCATATGTGCACAAATTTCTGCATGGACCTGTTGTCAATTGTTTTGGGTATATCCTGAGGGGTGAAATTGCTGAATCATATGATAATACTATATTTCATTTTTTGAGAAAGTGCCAATTTTTTTCCAAAGTGTCAGTATAACTTACATTAATAGTACTAAGGTTTGAGTGTTCCAATTTCTGCATTTGTCAAAACTTGCTATTACTGGATTTTTAAATTTTTGTATCATTAAAAAAACAAAAGTTATAAATTTGAATAAAGTGCAATTTATTCTGTGGTTACTTGTATCTTGGTTCTTACCTAGGAGATCTATATCGTGACCTAACCATGACCTAATGGAATCACATTATATATTGATGGGTGCTAGCCTTCTTTTCCCCCACATTGTGATGTGAGGATCTGCCATGTTGTTGAAGATTACCCTTTTTAATGGATAGTATTCTTTTGTGTGATTACAGTATGGCTAATTTATTCATTCTATAGTTGATGAACATTTGATTGGTTTTCAGTATGGTGATGTTATTAACAATACTATTAAGAACATTCTAGCAGGTGTTTTGTGAACATATGTGTGTATTTCTTGATATTGTCAGAAGGTTATGTATACTGCATCACCTACCTGTAACTGAACTATAAAAGGATTATTGAAACAAGTAATTATATGACAAATGTGCTATCAAAAACAGAATGCAGAGGAAGTATTTTGAAAAAGGAATGCGTCCCACATAATCCTCTAGAAAACAGATATACTAATTTTGTTTTCATGGTTGTGAAACGTTAAAGACATTAAAGAAACAATGAAGCTAGGTTCTGAATGTACTTCTGATACTGAAGAAGGCATCTGGAATGTTGACAACCAGCCAAAAAGAAGTCTAATTAAAAAGATTCTAGTGTTTACTGAAATTTTAAATAGCAGAACTATTCTTCAAATAGATTGCAATGACCTATTTAATTTTTTGGATTTGCCTTTAATTGTGGCTTGAGTTGGGAGAACAAACCCACCTCCCTATGTTGAATTAAGATACATTTTGAAACACATTCCACTCATACAACAGTCAGTAAGTAAATTTATATAAAATGGTATGAGATGCCTAAAAAAAAAAGTAAAAATTAAGACCAGTAATAGTTTGTTTTATGTTTGATAAAAATATTTCAAAAAGTAGAATCAAGCAGTAAAAATTCTTATTTTCAAATTAATGTGATTCTTTGGCCAAATTTTTAAAATTTTAAAGAGCAAGGAATTTTTTAATCCCAATTATGTCTCAGTTATATAGCTTTAGTAAAATGACACTAGTATTTTAAAGGTAATAAATTATTGAAATATTTCTAGAAGAATTGCAATTTTTCTTGCAATAAAAAATGTAACCTGCTAAGCTCACAAATGTCTGTAAAGAGTCAAATTTTAACTTTTTATTATTTGATAATTATAGTTGAAAATATAAACATGTGATTCTTAATAACATTACAGACTGATAAATGGAAACTTGTTTTAAATTTCATCAGCTGAAGTATGATGGAACTATAGAGATTTAACATGTATGACTTCTGACTAATTATTGTATTATCAACTTAGCAGGTTTCCAATAGCATATTTTAGAAAACACCTCTCAAATAAAACTCAATCTATTAATTTGTTAAAGATTCAAATTAGCTAGTGTGATAACAAGAAAATGCTTAACACTCCATTTTTACTTTCCATTGTGTATCAAGAGTCTATAATTGCCTGTCATGTTTATCTAGTACAATTAAATTCCTTAAATGCTACTAGTGAACTGCTAGATAAGCACTCAGATATATTCTACACTGAGGTCCTTTTTGAGGGCAATTAACAATAAACAAGGAAAGATAAACATTTTAAGTGTTTTAGATCTAAATAAACTGTTGGCATCTTGTAGCAATTTATGGTTACTGGGGAATGCTGGAATAAAATAAGTGATTTCACAATTTGGATGTGAAAACTTTCAGCAGCTCAACACTGAGTTAGACACATGAAAAACTCCTCACTCCTGACCCTATTTTTTATTATCTTATGTCTGCTCTGACTACTGCTTTCAGGTTGAAATGAATACAAAACACTGGGAGCTTTAAAGGGGCAGCCCAAGGACAAACAGCCTTCCAGATTTGTCCAATCACCACATTCATTTAAATTATGAATGTGTAGATAAAGTAGCTTTCAACAATCTTCACAATTACTATATATTGGACTGTCAAAAAGTGTACTTTTGATAAATTAAAGAATTCGTTTTGAAAGCTCATGAAAAATATTGATTCTAATTTATAACTGGAAGAATAAGCAACTCTAACACTTTATCTGAACCATTTGGATTAATCTCAAAATGACCTTAAAATTCTCTTCCATTTAAATGTGTATTATCTACACATGACTACAATCAGAATTAAGAACATTTAGCTAAACCTTGACCTACTGTGATTCTCAGGAGGCTGAAATTATTGAAAATCATTTCAAAAACCTCCAAATGTAGTAATTACATTATTAAGAACTGAAACTTGATATTTGAGAACACCAAGCTACTACATATACACACCCACACGCACACAAGCTCTTACACATAAATATAAGCCACAGGCTCATACATACTCATTGTATAGAAAATTATGAATCTACAGGGCAATTAAAGGAGTCAAGGACTTTCTATGTATATTATCTTATCATCTGCAAATAGCAATGGTTTTACTTCTACCTTGTCAATTTGGATCTCTTTTATGTTTCTCTCGCATTATTAGTCTAGCCAGGACTTTACTTCTATGTGAATATTTGTGGTGAAACTAGACATCCTGACTTACACATGATATTTCAGTTTTCACCATTGTGTAAGATGTTAGTTGTAGATTTGACATACATGGTCAAGCAAAATACAGATGACTATACGGCACAAGGTAAAAATGCTCATCATTATTTATTACCATGCAAATCAAAACCACAGTGAGGTACCACCTCACCTGTGAGAATGGCCCATATCAAAATGACAAGAACTAAGTGTTGGCAAGAATATGGACAAAAGGGAACATTCATGCAATATTGGGGGGGAGCGTTGACTGGTTCAGCTCCTATGAAACACACTGTAAATGTTTTTCAAAATATTAATAACAGATTTATCATATGCCCAAACTTTTCCATGTGTAGGTATCTACCCAAAATTTGCAAAAATAATAATTCAAAGAAAGCAACTCAAGACCCCAGTAACAGATGAGTGGATTAGGAAGATGCAACACACACACACACACACACACACACACACACACACACACACAAGTATTCCTGAACAGTATGCCCAGTTATTAAAAAAGATGAAA